AACGACAATTCCAGAATTAACAAGTTAAAATGTTGGGGGCGCTAATTAGCGTATATAAAAGCAAAACAATTCTAAACAAAGGGCAAACGCTCTTAATCTAGAAGTAAAACAAAATTTAATTATTACTATAAAACATAATAGAAGGAGCAAAATCTCGATATACTTCATCTTAAAACATTATTGCTTGTACTCATTAACATGATTGCTATAAAACAAAGATTGTTATCATAAATTTGTAGATTCGATAACGTGAGGAAAGCAAAAAAATGTTCAAAAATGTATAATTATTTTTCATCTAATAAGATACTACGTCATCGCGCACCTGCAGGAGGATAATACATTGTATACACATGTTCTTGACTATATGAAATAGTTGTATACTCCATGGCAAAAGAAAGCGTGCATTTGGTATATGGAAATTCTGTATGCTTACGTATATAAATTTTTGAATTTTTGTTTAAAAGTTTGCAAAAACTTATTGGCTACACGATAAATTTACTTCTTTAGTTGCCGATGTACCGAAGCTTGTTAACGTTGAAGGATGAAAAAAAGTTGAGATACTAAACACCAGTTAAACATATCCGGGTCCTAAATTGCCAGTTATACATATAGTGTTGCTTATGTACACACAGTTTCCTATGACCAGGTATGCATACTGAGGTCCTAAGCTACAAATGATACAAACTTGCGTCCTTAATTATCAATTATTGTAACAAATACTGGGGTCCTAAAATTATAAATCATTCATATTGGGGTCCTAAATTACCAATTATTCATAGTTAAGTCCTAATTACTAGTTATGCATACTGAGGTCCACGTTCCAAGTTATCCATACTTGGGTTTTAATTTACCAGTTGTACGTACTGGGTCCTAAATGGCCAGTCATATGTAGTATGGTCCTAATTTTCCAGCTATAAAAGATGCAACCGTGTTATATTATCTCTACAGTCAGCTTTCTCGTTTCTTTTTGAACATTATAATTCAGTTAGGCATGAGTGTCAAAATAAAGTAGGAAAGTTATGATATACTGTACACATATAGATTAAGCATAACACTTGAACTAAGTAATGTATATGGGATAAATGTCATAATTATGGTGGTACATGTTTCGCATACAAAATTTTCAATTACATGTACTTTATACTCTTCCGAAACGTAACTAATGCCTTAATTAAATTGCACGACATAACTTGTCCCCCATGTGCATTCTGTAAAGATATGTTATTAATCATATGCAAATAAGCCATGAGGTACAAAAAAATATTTATTGTAAAGATATTGTGTGACATGCATAATACCGCGTAATAATATCAAATATACATTTGCATTTCTATACAATATACAAAACATTGTGTCAAAAGTAATGGGAACCTCAATGAATATGATATTTATACACGAAATAAGCACTATGATACAATGATTCTGATAATAATTACACCATCACTTTAATGGTGTATTTGTCACTTTCCGCATCATAAATCAATGTAATAAGCGTTTAAAGAAAACATCTGCTTAGGCTAGTGCGTGCAAAGATTAATAATGACAGTGTCTCAAATGCTAATCATGTTTCAAAGGCGCAAAGGTTTCTGGTGCAAGTACGTAGATAAGTACAGTCGTGAATGATATCAATTCGAAACAGTGCTGAACTATTTCTAAAAATCAAAATAACTTTAAATTGGTTCAGATCTTGTGAATGATGACGCTGTCGATAATGACGACGATGATTCTGCTGCTGCTGCTGCTGCTGCTGCTGATATTGTTGATGGTGGTGGTGATGATGATTCTGCTGCTGATAATGTTGTTGAGGGTGATAGTGATGAGGATGAGGATGATCCTTTATCAGAACTTGTTTGGTTTATTCCTATAAACACAGGGAGCATCCATCATCAGCAAATGATTTCTATAAATAATTTCATCTCATTTTACTTTACGTTTGTTGAAATGACCCCGGATTACATTTAAAGCGACGTGATAAAAACAAACCACAGATTGTGCATGCGCAGAAGACTCATGACAACTTAACCGCCCCAAGTATACGAATAATTGTCCTCAGCAAATTAATATAAAACAATAAAAAGACCCATCGACAATGCAATGCTTCAACAAAACTTCAATTTCTGCAATTATAGAGGGTTATTGCAACTTTTTGTTGTACATGAACATCTACAGAAGCATGAGGATGCATTTATAAACGAAGCAAATAGGGCGAGGGATTTAATTAGTCCGGGGACTTATGTTGATATTAAAGCACGAAAAAAAGGTACACTAGTGCTATTCTTGCTTAAAAGTATTCGTTTAATTCGGCAATTCCGCGTTTCGATATCTGTATTTCGTATTAATTAAGAAGCCATTGATTGCGACGTTATAGTGCACGAGTGCAATGTCATTCAAAAAACTACCGTGGGCCGTAATTGCAGTATTATGTAAGATTTTTTGTAAATTGGGCCCTTTGTGTCCCATCAAACAGGTAGGATAAATGTATAATCTTCATAATAAGCGCGCGTAGGTTTGTCTTTACACTTGCACGGTCTGCCATGTCGTATTTGTAGCGTCAAGATTTGTTCAAGAATTTAAAACAGTCATGTATGAGTTTCTAGGGAGAAGTAATTTACATGGGATAGCGTAATACACAGAGCCTAGTAGTAATGAAAAAACTCTCAATGTTTCTGTTTAAAATAGATATATCTACCTCAATTGAACTTTCTCAGACCGGGTAAAATCAGTCGGTGTTTTGAGATAGTTACAAACAGGTACGTTTTAATTCTCTTAAATTTGATATATTTTTTCACATTTTCAGTTTCATGTTAGTATATAAACATTTAGCTAGATCACGGGGGGGGGGGGGAATCACGTGACTTTGTATAGTAATACCCACGAGAAAATGGCTACTGCTGAGCCCCGGTAAGTACCTTATTATGTTAAATTAAGGTGACAAACGTTTCTTAAATCAAAACAAAACCTAGCGTATCATATGCGCGCTAATTTTCTTCAAATGACGATACAAAGTGCATTATCCTACGTTTTGTGGTTTTTGAGAACATTGTTTGAATTGTGTGAAAATTGCACATTCAGCGATAGTAATTCGCACGAAGCGATATAATTTGGTACCAAAATCAATGTAAATAAGCTTACTTTCTGCATTTGGGCCACAAAATCAATCATTGTATTGACATCTGTTATCGTAGAAGTCCATATAAAATATATTTTTGAAGGTCTGTAGCCTACATATGTTCTTTGCAAGTGTATAGTAAGTAAAACGAACAATTTCTGGATAGTAAGTTGCACGAAAACAAAATAGTAGGTTTCACGCACAGTTTCCCTTAGGATACATATACATTAAAAGAAAGTTAAAGTTCATATGTAAAGAGATAGAAAATACTTATTTCAATTATTCAAGATCAAATATTTCACTTTTTGTCTATAGGACGAATGCTTGATTGGTTATTTTTATAATATATCAAATGAACTTTTGATGGGATTTAATATTAAACGGCTCAGTGTTATTTTTCTGTTGCGATAGTTGTTATTTGACCTCTTCAGTGTCAGTTGTGTCTTGGCCCTCATTTTACTGTAATTATAAAAAAGATGAACAAATATTATTGCTTGTTATTTGGTATGGTAATGTTTATTAACTGAACGCTTATGTTTTTATATGGCGGTATTTGTTACATTTAGTCACTATGTTATATAATTTATGAAAATATATTTAAGAATTCGCAAGAACAAATTAACTTCTTACAAAAAAAGCAACAACAACAACAAAAAACAAAACAAAAAAAAAACAAACAAAAAAAACAATGATACAGTGATTCAAGTTATGAACATTTTGCCTTAGAAATCCATATTGTTTTAATTCTTTAGAAATGTCAAACATATGTGTTTGATAATGTTTAAATAATGGATAATAAAACGCATTAAAGTAGTTTATTACAACCGAAAAAGGTAGCGCTGAGCATTAAGTGATGTGTCGTAAAGGTAGCAAAATGTAAACAAAATAGTATTTTGACTTTCATTACAAAATGCTTATGCACTAAAGGTATACCGATTGCGATGCAAAAGATAGTTTGAGTATCTAGTAAATGAGTATGTTTTCGGAAACTGTAACAAGATACCAAAAATAAACATTTTTTTAAATAAAAATGATAGCATTTCAGAGGCATAATGGACCTTTAAAGAAAAACGAATATTTGAAATCAAACGGTCAAAGATATTTATACTTTTTAAAGTGAAGGCAAGTGGAGTAAACACCCGAGTTAAAGCACTGACGTTTTGTTAGCTAGTTTGATGAAAGAGTTAAAGGACTCTGATGGGACTAGAATCCATAGCAGTGAGAAGCATGTTTATAAAAATCAGGGACTTTAACCAATCGGTCATGGACACCCTTAATATCTTATTTACTTACTCTGTCATAAACAAAAAGTAAGAGTTTACGAGGCAACACATTTGCAGATGGTAAGAAAATAAGCGAATAGTAATACATAACATTTTAACAAAACTTCTTGGGTTTATTTATAAAATCTGCCAGTGCATAAAGAATAAATTTAATAAAAACTTTGTATACCAGGGGCCGTATTCATAAAGGATCTTAAGTTTTAAGGGAAAAATTTCCTTATCTTCAAGAAAACTCCCTAAGGTAAAATTTTCCCTTAACTTAGAGGTCAAAAATCCCTTAAGTGAATTCCTTAGGCAAGAAATTCCTTAACTTAAATTTTATCCTAAGGCGAAAATTTCGTTTAATAGCAGTTTTTCTATTTGTAATTACCGACTGGAGAGCACTGACTGTGCTAAAAATAGTAACAAAAACAAGATGGCTGACCTAGAGCAGGAAATGCGCGACGTTTCAGACCTTTCATGGATATTTGTTGTATTTCATGGAATTATTCGGACAATCATCATAGGACGAAGGCAGAGGAAAACGATTGTGGGTTTAACACTAGTGACATGGTTTGAGACTGACGTTTTTAAACAATATCAGTTTCATTCGCATGTCGTTCTTGTGTAGTGTTTACTAATTATCCGGATAATTACGGTACGGGATGGATGGTCTTTTTCCCGGGGTTCGAAGTGCACTCTGGGTAGTTGGTTTATGGTAATGGCGTCGGTTACTTCGCGGGGTTTTTAGCAGGATTTAGTATTGCCATTCGTAGCGTTATACGCTGTGTAATTGTTGAATTGTAAAGCCTAAACACGCGCACACTTTATTGGCGTTGTCGGCAGGATAAATTGTTTCAATTGGGATCGGGCAGATTGGTTTTTTGACAGCGAATCGGTCGGGCGTGCGGCGCATGTGACGTCACATTGCGGGTTCTCGCTGTTGGCTTTCTGCAGCTTTTGAGACAATTTGGCGGATAAAATTTATTAAGTTTCGTGTGTTAAGGTCCTCGGCTGTAATTTTGAGTTTCGTGAGATCGCGTTTAGGAGTGGAAATTGATTCGGGACTCTGAATTTGTAATTCTGGTAAATCGGCGAACTTCGTAAGTTTCCGGTAATTTACGGTGCGTAGCGCATGCGCGGAACGTTGTGATTGGCAATATTTCCTGCAAGCGGTGATTTTGAAACCGGAAACGTAATTTTTTGTTGTTTTTTACAGATTAGGAAGCTTTTAGCAGATTAATCAAGAGACAAAACAATAGTGTGGTAATTCCCTGGCCTGTTTGGTTAATTATTTAGGATATTTGTATTTTTTCGCGTGGTATTTCAATCGCGTGGACTTAATTATTTTATGACCATGGATTAAAGCTCATTTTTCTTTTTTTTTTCTTTCCGGTAAGGTATTGTAGCAATGATTTGATAGCTGTGCTGTACTAATATTTAGTTTGGATTTGATTAAATAATTATTTGAAGTAGATTTTATTTTTCTAAAATTGTTTCATGGAAAAAATTTAATTTTTATTTAATTTTAATTCAAAAGTTCTGAGCTTTAGTTCATGGATTGATTAATTGTATATTGGATTGTTAATATTGTATTTGCTATATCAATTTAAGTTCTGGCCTGTGTACCATCTGACTCCCATATTTAAATTGATTGTAACCTTACAAGTTGCCGGCTTGGTTAAGTTAATACCTGGGATTACGTAGTGTCTGTGTGTATGTGGCACCAGGGTCCGGTTGGTGTATGAAATAGTCACAGATTTATAGGGATATCCTGAGTTTTAAATGTGATTTGCCGGCAACTGACAATTTTTATGTGTGTGCTTAAGTGATTTTATTAAAAGCAATTGGAATTGTTAGGCATTTAATAAAATAAATTGTTTATTCACATTGGAAGTGTTTTGACTTCCCCAGGGAATGTTGTATTGTATTTGGCCAATTTTGTATTAATAAATATGTTGCAGGGAAGATTGTGAATTTGTAATTCACAAAGTTGGACCGGATTTAACTTGTGTTACAAGTTGAATCGTTCAGAGTTATCAGTATTGCACATATTGACAATTTTTGTTTTGGTTTAGTGCAGTATTGATATATTTCAATTTGGTTTAATATTTGTAATACAAAATTAAACCAGGTTTAAATTGTTTTACAAATTAAACCGTAAGAGATGACCCAAGTGTGTTATACATATTTCGGTTAGAGTAATAAAATTATATTGTTTATACGTATTGGATATAGAATTTCGTTTGATTTTGTTTTACGAAATTAAACGGGGTCTAAATTGTTTTACAAAGTAGACCGTATGGTGTAACTCAAGTGTGTTGTATACATTTTTGTTACGGGAGTTCTATTTTACATATTTGAATATAAGATTTTGTTTGATTTTGTTGTACAAAATTAAACAAGGTTTAAATTGTTTTACGAATTAAACCAGAAGGTGTAACTTAAGTGTGTTGTACATATTTTTGTTGCGAAAAAATCTTTTATACACATTGGGATATTGCTGCTGGCCCAATTATCAAACCGAAGTTATTATTTTGTGATCTTTGTAATAGGATTCGTTATACGAAACTAGACAAATATTTGCTGGAAAGAACATCTGTTGTACAGATTGAAACAACCGGGATAAACTTATCAAAAATAGTACTTTGTGACACTTGATATAATTTGTAATTAATCATGAGTGATAAGGGAGAGAAAGCAACACCAAGAGGTTTTGGTCGTGGTTTTAGTTTTAGTTCTGAACCAAGAATGGTGAGTCACAAAGTGAAAATGAATTATGCTTCTGTAAGCGAATTGCAATTGGTGCCACACATTGGAAGTAAAATTGCTGGCAGAATCGAGGCACTAAGATATGAAGTAGGAAATTTAACACCGGGACTGTTACGAGCGGCCTTTGGACACGGAATGACAGAGAGTGTCTTGATGTGCATGGACTTTGAGGAAAATCCAGCATTGAGTCAGAGGAAAGAACTTCGGGGGAGCAATATGTTGGATCCAAAAGTGTTGGCCGACAGATTCCAAAATGTACTCAAATTAGATAAAGAGGTAAAGGAGGAAAGAACACATAGTAAAAAAGTTGCAGCTTCCAAAATGGCTAGTTGGTCTTCAGATGGCTCGGAAGAGGAAAGCGAAACTGAAAGAAAGGTAAAGTCAAAAGCCAGCTTTAGTAAGAAACGGGGCTCGGATTCAGATGAAAAAGAAGAAGAATTTTTAAAATGCAAGTCTCAAACAAAGAAAATAAAACAAAAGTTGTACAAACGAGACAAATACATTGAAGAATCTGATGACTCTGAAGTTGAAGATAGAATGCCAGTAAAGAGGAGGAGTAAGAAACACAAACATCAGAGATTTCTTGACTCTTCATCAGATGACAGTGACGAAGACCAGCCACGTTGCAGCACCAAGGGTCAAAGGATGCCTAGGAATATTCCCAAAAGCATCTCTTATGACGGGAAAAGTAATTTTGCTGCATTCAAGATGAAGTTCGAGCAGTATGTCAAGGCATATAGTTTGACGGAGGAAGAATGCAAAAATTGTCTGTGTTGGTGCCTTACTGGAAAAGCTGCAGAGTACTTCACACTCACAATGGAGGTCAACAACAGTCTGTCGTACAGACGATTGATCAAAAAGTTGGAGCAGAGATTTGGGTCCAGGGAGTTGGCAGAAACAGCCAATGTAAGATTTCAGCAGGCTTGCCAAGGTCCAGATGAAAGCCTTGAAGATTGGGCGGACCGTGTTCTAACTCTAGCGACAAAGGCATTCAGAGAAGTTCCTGACAAATACGCTAACCAGCAGGCAATCACCCGTTTTTGTACAGGTTTATATGATAAACCATCGGCTCAGAACGCTTGTGTCCAGAGACATAAAACAATGGAGGGTGCCATAGATTATGTGAAGTGGTACCAACATGTACACCAGGCAGTATATGGAAAATCCAAGCCCACGCGTTTTACGCGTGAAGATCCTCCACATGTGTATGAGACAAGTGCGGTTCAACAAGGAGTTTCGGGTGAGCAGTTCCAGGAAATGATGAACTTGCTTAAAGAAACGCGTGTTACGCGTGACAAGGCGAAAGATCATCTTCAGGTTATTCCTCAAGGTGCATCTAACGATCAGTTTAGACAGATGATGGACATGCTAAAGGAGATGTCATCAGGTACTGGCGTTGGACGTGGTCGAGGGAGAGGGACTGTAAGAAAAGATGGTTGTTTTCATTGTGGGCAGCCAGGTCACATAAGGTTACGTTGTCCATTACGTTTAGCAGAAAGGACATGTTACAAGTGTAACAAGCAAGGGCACATTCAAAGAGATTGCCCTGAGAATGGTAACAGGACAGCAAATCATTTAAACTGGAGGGGGTCGGGTGTGAGGGCCGAACCCGTACCCAAGAAGCCAATGGCCTAAATAAGAAAAAACGCAGGCATCGTGGGGTAGGTCGTGGGTCTAAGGCACGAAAGGACGGAAAGGCTAGTGATTCAGGAGAAAGTGAAGATTCTTTTAGAGGACGTTGTACGGACTCTAGCACACAAACAGATGACAGTTTATCTGACGGTGCCGGCGATAGTGATAATAAGGAAGATCAAATGAAGAGAACAACAAAGAAACTAATTAAAGAGGCTTCTAAACAAAAAAGTGATAGTTATCCAGATAAACCGGAAGCTGTAATGGTAGGTCAGCTTACGTTTGTGTCGAAGTACAAACTTAAAGTGAATGTAGCTGGCAAAGATGTCCAGGCTGTGGTCGACACAGCAGCTGAAGTTACCATTATTTCAGAAGATCTGTATAATTCTCTTCAAAAGAAGCCAGAGGTGATCAAGAAAGTAGAATTGTTGACTGCTGGTAAGAAACTATCAATGATGGGCAGGGTGGTAGGTCCAGTGAAGCTTGGCATTGGATCTCATGTATACAAAGAAAATGTTTATGTAGCTCCAATAACACAAGATATGCTTCTTGGATTTGATTTGCTCCATAGAAAAGCAGTAATTGATATGATGAAGGGCATCATACACTTCGATGGAGAAGCTATTCCTTTAAATGTCGACGAAGGTGATGGAAAACCAATGGTTGCACGAGTCACAGTGTCCAGGAGAAATATCGTGCCGCCAAATTCAGTGAAGAGGATAAAGTGTGAAGTTAGTAGTGAAATGCCAGATTTCATGATAGAAGCAGATGACAATTTAAAAGTTTTGATTCCAAAAACTTTGCATAGTAAGGGGAAGGAAGCAATTCTCTGTGTTGTAAATGCAACTGACAAGTACAGACTATTGAAAAAAGGAAAAGAAGTTGCAAACGCTTATCCAGTTGATCAAGTGGAAGCTTTGGAAGATGATTTCCCAACAGAGTTGTACTCTGTTGAACAAGTCGAGGCACATAGTGGTTTTACCGAAGTGCCTGAACACTTGAAAGAAGTGTACAATCAGTCAATTGCACATCTTTCTGAGGAGCAACGTGAAGAATTAGCAAGACTGCTCAAAGAATATGAAGAGGTATTTGCAAAGTCAGAGTTTGACTTGGGTAACTTCACCACAATAGAGCATGGTATAGATACAGGCACCGCAAAACCAATAAAACAACGCATGCGTCGTACGCCTGCTTGTTTTGTAGGAGAGGAAGAGGCACATCTTAAAAAAATGTTACAGGCCGGAGTGATACAAGAATCTACATCTGAGTGGGCTTCTGCGCCAGTCCTTATCCGAAAAAGAGATGGTAATGTGCGATGGTGCATCGATTACAGGGCACTGAACAACGTGACAGTGAAAGATGTTTTTCCATTGCCATTAGTGGACGACTGTTTAGATACATTGGCAGGAAATTGCTGGTTTTCGAAGCTTGATGCCAATTCAGCCTATTGGCAGGTCAAAATTAAAGAGAAGGATAGGCCGAAAACTGCCTTTACAACGAAATATGGCCTGTTTGAGCATGTCAAGATGGGATTTGGTTTGTGTAATGCTCCGGCAACTTTCTCCAGAGTTGTGAACTTGGTTTTACGAGGTCTTAACTGGAAGACAGCGTTGGCATTTTTGGACGACATTTTGATCATGGGAAAGTCATTTGATGATCATCTTAACAACTTGGCGGAGGCTCTTGGTCGTTTTCGTAAGCATGGTTTGAAGTTAAAGCCCAAAAAATGTGTGTTTTTTCAACATGAGGTGGAATTTTTGGGAAGAATTGTGAGTACTGATCGTTTGGCGATGGCTGAAAAAGACATTGAAGTGGTGCGAGACTGGCCAACGCCGCAGAACTTCAAAGATGTACAGCGTTTCATGGGCTTGGCGAACTATCACAGAGCTTTCGTTCCAGGTTTTGCAGAGTTGAGTGAACCACTGTATGCAGTGATTGGAAAAGATAAATTCAAGTGGGAGGAAACACAACAAAAAGCTTTTCATTTTTTGAAAAAGGCTCTTGTAGAGCCCCCAGTGTTGGCCCTCCCAAACAACGTGGATGAATTTATATTGGACACAGATGCATCGAACTTTGCTGTTGCTGGTGAGTTGCTGCAGATACAAAATGGTAACGAGAAGGTGGTAGCCTATGGAAGTTTCATGCTCACCCCAGAGCAGCGAAACTATTGTGTGACAAGAAAAGAATTGCTTGCCGTTGTACGGTTTGCAAGGCAATATCGGCATTACCTGTTAGGTAGACCGTTTGTGCTGAGAACAGATCATTCTAGTTTGACATGGTTGCTCAATTTTAAAGAGCCTCAGGGACAGCTAGCTAGATGGATGGAGGAGTTGTCACAGTACAATATGATTCTACAGCACAGACCTGGGCAAAAGCATTGTAATGCGGATGCATTGTCACGACCACCGGTGCCAGATGATTTGTGTGGGTATTACAAGAGTGAGGTGAAGTTGGAAGAGCTGCCGTGTGGTGGATGTAATTATTGCAAGAAGGCCCACCAGAATTGGGCAAGATTTACAGAGGATGTGGATGATGCAGTACAGTTAGGGAAAGCTGTGCAAGAGGTGATGGAGATCATTGAGGGGAACGCCATATTGAGCCTGGATGAAGAGGAGGTAGCATCCCATGGAGTAAGGGGGAATAGCTCAACTTCTCGCGAAGCATTCAGTGGGGGTCAGGAAGCTGATCAGGATGGTACCTATGGAGGGATCAGAGACCCAATGGTGTTTACTGATTTAGAGCAGGGAGGCGCAGGTGGGGGGTCTGTTTTTAACAGGCAGCCCGGCAGACCCAATAGAGAGGATCATCTAGCTAATGATCCTAGGGGTATAACATCTGTTTATAACAGTTGGTTGGAAAATTCCTGTGGCCCGCGTCTATCAGTAGGATCTGGAAACCTCTTGGAGAAGGGATTTGAAGCTGTAGAGGAAACAGAAAGGTGCGGTTTCGATATTTGTCTGGTGGAAGGGAAATGCATAATTACTGAAATAAGTGTAGCAGCAGACGATAAAAAAGAGCCTTGTAGCTGGGGTCTTTCTGTGAAAGACTTGACGAAAGAGCAGCTAGAGGATGGTGATGTGGCAGTAATTTGGAAATGGTTAAAGACCAAAGAGGAGCCCATGCAGAAAGAGATCTATTTAGCCAGCCCAGCAGTAAAAGCCTATTGGCTAAACAAAGAAGCCTTTGAGATTATTGATGGTGTGCTTTATGTCGAAGGAGATGGAGACAAGAAACTGTATGTCCCATTAAGTCTGAGAGAGCAAGCGATGAGTTTAAATCATGATTTACCATCTGCGGCCCATCAAGGAATCGCCAGAACTAAGGCTAAAGTAAAAGAAAAGTTCTATTGGCACCGGTTATCAGAGGATGTCAAGGACTTTGTAAGTTCTTGCAATGTGTGCAGTCAGAATAAGAAGAGTGACCGATATGGGAAATGCCCGTTGACAGAGTTTCAAGCTGGAGCACCGATGGAGAGGGTTCATATAGATTTTATGGGCCCACTTCCTAAGACACCACGAGGAAATGAGCACATTCTAATGATGGTGGATCAGTTCACAAAATGGGTGGAATGTGTGCCATTACCCTCACAGACAGCGGAGGTTACAGCAAGGGCAGCTGTCAATGAGTTCTTTTCTCGATTTGGCTATCCGTTGCAGATACATTCTGACCAAGGGAGGAATTTCGAGGGGAAAGTTTTCACTGCCTTATGTGAAGTCCTGGAGATACATAAATCAAGAACAACACCGTATCGCCCAGCCTCCAATGGACAAGTTGAGCGTTTTAATAGAACGTTGATGGATGCTGTCCGTTGTTTTATACAGAAGTCGCAGAATCAGTGGGATCTGTATATCCAGCAAATAGCAGGAGCCTTGAGAGCGTCTGTGAATAGGAGTACAGGTTTCACAGCAAACAAATTGATGCTTGGTAGGGAAACCAATACACCAGCTAGTTTAATGTTCCCCCTTGTAGGCCGGGAACATAAAGATGTTGAAGCAGAAGGTTATGTGAAGGAGCTTCGGGAGGAGATTGGAAGAGCCCACAATACAGCTAGGCAGAATCTGAACACGTCCCTGAAAAGAATGAAACGAAGCTACGACTTAAGGATTCTAGCAAGAAGCTATGATAAGGGTGATCCTGTTTATGTTTTGGATACTGCGACAGTGAAGGGTAAATGTAAAAAACTATCTCCTCTGTGGAAGGGACCTGGTGTTATAGTTAAGAAGATCTCCGCATTCATCTACAGAGTAAAGGTCAAGAACGCTGTGTTTGTGACTAATCATGACCGTTTGAAACCTTGTCGAGACAGGAAATTGCCAGTATGGTTGCAAAAATGGAAAGATGGCTCTGACGAGGTACTGGAAGATGATACAGAACTCTATTGTACCTGTAGGAAGCCTTGGCAAGGGAGGTTCATGATTATGTGCGACTTTTGTGAGGAGTGGTATCATGGGTCCTGTGTAAACATCACACCTACTGAGGCCTTAGATATTGTTAAGTACAAGTGCGGAACATGTAAGGGGAGGCCCCAGTCAGATGGTACACAATAAGACCAGTTTGGATGGAGGCGTTGCGTTTGGAACATGGTTCAGGCTGGGCAGCAGGGCAGGGTTCATTTCTTTTGTGGCTGGAATGAGAGGACCAATCGGTTACATCTGTTATGTGTGCTGCATGTTGCCGTTGTACGGCCTGTGCTGGGTTTCGATGTGACGGGTCCAACCAAAGGTAGTCCAGTCCTGAGTAGATAGCTTAAGTTCCGACACTTATACCACTTTACTTGATTTTTTTTCAGAAGATGAATTTTGTTGAGGAGGTGGAAGAATTTACGAGGAAAGGGCGACAGATGAATGCGGAGGAGGTAGTACGGAAGCTTATGTTAAGTGGAAGACCTGCCCAGGACCAGCAAAGAGCTTTGCTTGGTCAGGCATCGTTAGCCCGGAATCGTCGTAATACGACGTGGCTAAAGAAGGCAGCAAAAGAAGCAGAGGTGTTGCAGTTTGCTTCTTCAGAGTGGATCTCGGAGAATCTGCACCGGATCGTTTCTAAACGCAGTTCCGAGGCATGTGCCTCTTCCAAGCACTGCGTGACAGACATCCGTCTAAAAACGGAGCCCACTCTGGAGAGGAGAGTGGAGGATGCTGCCGCAAGAGATGCCGGGGCTACTGAGAAAATGATAAAGGACATTGAACAGCATCTTTCGGAGGCCAGCATGCCCGAGTTGGACTACCGAGATGAGTTGACTTTAGATGAGCAGGAGCCCGCTGTTAGCGGTCCTGCACCAGACAATACAACAAAGGAAGTACTTGTTACCGGTCAACAGCCTCCAAAGGAAATCCAGAAGCCCGCTTCTAGCGGCTCTGGAGATGGCAGTACAAGGCCAACTCAGTCTACGGAAAGGGTCATAAGAAGGTCACCACGAAGAGGGAGAACATCAACAGAGAATGTTTCAGTTCCCACCCAGAGAACAGTAAGACAAGCTCCTCAGGTGCCCGCTGGTAGCGGTCCTGAGTGCGAGTATGTCCGCCAGCTTAGGAAAGTGGCTGAACGGACTGGAGTCCCTGATGCACAGAGGCATCCCAAGACCGGGCCATCCAAAGTTCCCTTGAAAGCGAAGAAGAAAAGGGTATACACTGAGCGAAAAAGGAGCAACTGCCCTTTGTCTTGGTGTACGGGGGATTTCAGTTACCCGGTAGCACATGCGTTTGTTTACCACTTTCCCACAGGGGTGGATAGGGACAGTACTGGTAGAGAGGTTGACAAACGTAGGGCTGAGTTTATAAGATATCTGGCTGCTTGGGCATCGGGAAGGAAAGACGCCGCACCAGGCTGTTTATTGGAGTTTATGGTGAGAGAAAGGTTACAGAAGGGAAACGAAGATAAACAGTGTGGGACCTGGGTGTGCGATGTTGTGAAGAGGGTGTCGGAAAGATTAGGAATTGTTGCGCCCAGTAGGTTGACCCTCAGCCCTATCAACTCGCCAGTGCTCGTTTTTCACTGGGCTCTGCTACTACAAGTCCTGAGAAGGATGTCTCGTCAGGAGTACAATGAGCTTCAGCGGAGATTCAGTGATCCAACCCGAGGTCATGAACTGGATCAGCGTCTTGCTCCTGAGGATCCTGTTGTACAGGAAGAAGCACAACATCCTGTTTTACAGGATGACGAAGATCTACTCGAGATGGTTGTAGTGGACGAGGTTGGAGAAGAACCTTTGGTAGCTTTGGACTTGACCATCTGTCTTACAGGTGAAAGGAAAGTTAAACTTTCCTCCAATCAGTCTGACGTCCCCAAAGCCAAAGAATTGATGGCTGTGTGTCCTGCACCATCGGAAGAAGCGGCGATTCCTGGAGAAGAAGCCATGAGTGTGGAAAGCATGGAGGTTGAAGCCTGTTGTACAGGTACCCAGGCACCAGGGATTGTTGTGGAAGCCAATTCTAGTGGAAAAAGTAGGCCAGTTAATCCTCCTGGGAGAAACTTTGTACGTGAGGGGGCAGTGGATAGCCATTTCCACTTGGATAGGCTATGTCTGAAGCTAGGTGAGCCCGAGTATAATTTCAGCAAGGTGTTAAGCAGACTGACCCCGTATGCTGTTGAGGATCGTGTCTGCATTGGAGGAGCCGTGGCCAACTTTTGCGACCCGGTTAACTATCCCAGTGTGGACGAAATATCCAGCCTACGGACGCAGGGTGTGGAGACATCGATCGGGCTACATCCAAAGCATGCTGCACATGTCAGTTCCAGAGTAATATCTAGATTCCAGGGCCTTGTAGGTCTGCCTGAGGTATGTGCCTTTGGAGAAGTCGGGTTGGATCATACAGTTCCGGCAGAGGAATGGGCGACACAGCATGATGTGTTGTACCAGGTGTTGCAGTTCCTGGAGCCGCGTCATGTACTGGTGCTTCATTGCCGATCCAAGGTAGCCAGGGAAACATCAGAACTAATGGCATCTCTGATGTATCAGTGTGCAGGAGTGGTATCCAGAGACCAGAAGATACACCTGCATTGTTTTTCTGGAACTGAAAGTGACATAAATCGGTGGGTGCAAAGGTTTCCAAATGTTTGCTTTGGATTCACCGCCATGGTAGGGAGTTTCAACGAAGAGCAGAAAGAAGCTTTAAGAGTGTTGTCGTCCGAAAGACTTCTACTTGAAACGGATGCTCCCTACTTTCCTCTCCATGGATACAGTCTGTCATCCCCGACCTTTCTTGGAATGACGGCCCAGCTTGTAGCTGATATTCGTGGGGTCAGTAAAGCGGAAATCCTGACGGTTACAGCCCAGAACGCCCACCGAATGTATTGGTCATGAGGACGAGGCTTTAAGTAAGTTTAGTATTGCCTGTTAGGCGAATGTTGAAAAGAATGGTATTGCCTGTTAGGCGAGTTTTAGAACAATGGTATGGCCTTTTAGGCAATAATGGGATATTGTTGTGTTGCCTTGTAGTGGAAAGCCTCATACCCAGCAAACATGCATATATGGGACCCATATGGGCTATATCTAGGCAAGCCCATATGGGTATGCCCATATTGGACCTATATGGGACCAATATGGGCAAGTCCATTTGGGTACGCCCATATTGGACCCATATGGGTCCCATATTACAGCACTATAAGGAAAAACGATTTTTCGTTTATTTATTTCTTTAGAACTTGTTTACTTTGAGCTATAGTGTGACCACCTTGGCATAAATTGCTATTATCTTTTATAAAAATCGTAGCATTAACATATATACAAGCCATGAGGGACCCATATGGGTCCCATTTGGGCAACCCAATAAATATTAGCATGCCTGAGCAGGTGCGAGAAATTAATTTGTTTAGTTTTTATATTGGTTTTAATTTTTATAATCTAAATATTAAAATGTGTTTTTAGACTATTTTAATTCAGAAATAATTTATAAAAATCAGCATTTGATGAAAAATTTATTTCGAGCATGCGCAGACGTGATTTCCGCTGCCGCTTAAAATCAAATTGTGTATTGAAACGTTAAATTGTAAAATTGTACACGAAAACAATATTTCATTTCAATTCGGAACATTTAACGACGATTTCGTATAACGACCTTTCATATTATATCCTTACAGATTTATTGTGTGTGTAGGTAAGTGTAAACGTCATTTATTTTTTGTTTTTGCCTTTGCCATGTAATTTCGCGATAGTTTTTGTCAGTTTAATTTGCGACATTTTCTAGAATTTACGCCCACTATTAGGCACTTTAGCTGACCTTATGGATGTGTATAGTTGTTATTGTTGAATAACTTAACTGTGACGGAGTCGACACTAACATTTTAATAATATTGTTTCTATCTAGACTTAATTTTAAGAGATCCTTTTTTAAAGGGACACCATCATTTGAAATCCAGTGACCCCTCCTAGCCTTAGAAGTCCCTTCCATTTTGTACCAATATTTCATTCATAAGCATTTTAAAATATTAAATGCAAATACTTATTATTACAAATTACCAACCAAGCCCTATGTTGCACATGCACGAGTACCGGACCTGGGAAGAAATAATATGACTCGATAGATAATTAAACCTTTAAAAATTGTAAATTATACCCCCCTTTAAAAACATACTTTAAGTTAAGAGAAGGCCAGAAACTCCAGATTCGAGACTGCAAGCAAGGGATTCACTTCCCGGGCCGTTGTGAAAACAATTGTCCAGACAATTAAAATAATCTTTTATCACTTTCACGTTTGTATTAGGCTTCCAAATCGGAACGACCCCAAGTCTTTAGCCCTTCCCGTTCATGAAATAGCTATCGGGGAAACAAACGCATTCGTGCTAAAAATCCTTGGTAGACAAAATTGCGGCACAACAATTCGGTACGTAAACATAGACTAGTACATGTTTGCCAGCCGATTACGAGTCATAATCTTATTGTCACTTGGCGCAATAACTCACTTAATGTCTATCATGTATTTTATAATTACTAATTTACTTATTAATGTATTTTCATTTTATTGTAAATAGGCCATCAAAAAGGCTGTATGAATCGTATAGTGGCACTGATGAGAATGAGACAGACACAGAGAGTAGGCCACCACAAGTTATTGACCAAGCAACAACGCCCAAAGAGTCACAAAGCCTACTTTCATCTCCGCCTCGCTTATCTGCACAGGCATTGCGAGAGGCCAGCAGTGATGTGCAAAGTGCTTCTCCAATACAAGGTGCTTCTGATACACCCTTCCGTGGGCAGATTATTTGGCCCAGTAAGTATAAACTTCGGAGCTATTAATATATTTATTATTACAGTACATACTTATTAAATGTTATATTCTCAAAACAAGTCAATAAATGTTATAACTAGCTGGATTGAGTGACACAGCCAAAAATGGAAAGTTTCACCTTGTGACGCCCCTAGTTAAAAAAATATTCAAAAGAAATTGATGAATACTTGTGTTAGTCTTTATCATGATGTGAATTTGTGCGCATATTCTTGCCTGACCCCACTACTGTTATCCAAAGTTACGGTCCCTGGAAGAGTCAAGAATGTTTATTTTCACCAAATGACATGCCTAGGCTCAAAAATATGTTAAGTTTAATTCATGATTTCTTATCATTTTCACATTTTGTGACCTTGCACACTCAACAATCCTTTTGAGATTTTAGCGTTAATTACTGTTAAAGCCAAGGAAAAATTTAAAATACTGGATTTTTTTCATTTGAGCCGGGTCATGACAAAACCAACATAATGGGTTTGCGACCAGCATGGATCCAGACCAGCCTGCGCATCTGCGCAGTCTGATCAGGATCCATGCTGTTCGCTATCAGTTTCTCTACTTGTTATAGGGTTTTTAAGCGAACAGCATGGATCCTGATCAGACTGCATGGATGCGCAGGCTGGTCTGGATCCATGCTGATCGCAAATGCATTATGTTGGTTTTGTCGTAACATGGCTCATTTGTCATTCACATAGCTCTAAAAGTATATGTCCTAGAATTATGAATCCTTTTTTTCAGCTGCTGTTACACAGATTCTCTGAGTCTTGGAGACAATGCGAGAGAATAATCGTGAAATTAAGAGGATGGTGCAGCGAATGCTGTTAAGGTCAGCAGCAGATGACCAACCGCTGCAACTTCCGAAAGATGGAAAAGATGGCAGCATTCAATGAGCTTCTGGGAGATCAGACAATGCTCTCATCTGTGGTAAGCATAGTGTTAGTCATGTATGTTGCTCCATTAGTAACTGAAAAAAGTATACCCCATATCCACTGGCCTAAAAGCAAAATAACATAATGGTCTGTGGTGAGCACTTGATGATAATGTATAATCATTCTGCTATATTTATGTTGAAAATTATTGCACAGTGGACAAACATTTTGCTGCATTAATTTCAGAATTAAAAACTGGCATGTTTTAATTTTTTGATTCATATTGACACAGTTATGTTATCTATATATGCTATAATAGCCATGAGCACAAGACATGGGCAGTTGGCCTCGTTTTCAACATTAATTATTAATTAGGACAAGACAGTCAATTCATTAATCAAAATGCTGGCAGCTTTCAAAATACCAGGGAAATGACTAGTACCCACAAAATCCAGGAATTGAGCTGTTATTATATTATCAAAAATTTTTCTGTTGATATTGAATAAACTCTTGTATAAAAAAAAAAACAATGATAATGTGCCCCATAACACTCGGTGAAGGGGACAAACATAAAGGCACAAGTCACTAAGGTGTTGTCCTGATTGTAAATATATGAGGAAAGATCTTTTAATTTGTCAATCCAAACAGTTTTCTTGGCAGATCATGTTTTTGAGGTCCAGTTGACAATTATTTGTCATTTGGTGACTTGCAGCCCATCACTTAGTAGTGTTAAAATTAACATTAAAAAATTTTATGTTCTCCTTTATTTAAGGTGCGGTTCCTCTCAATGTTTGGTATGGCAGATGTACGGGAAACTGTTGACCGCTTGATGAAAGAAACCATGTCAAATGAACTGGCAAGAATGTACAATATGAAGTGGCTGAAGGGGAAGAAAAAGTTTGTGGGCCTCTAGATACTGATAGTATTGTATAGTAAGTGATTTTTTACAAATTTGCAAAGTGGTGTCTTCAAAATAGATATATTATCCAAGATCTTGTTATTGTGTCTTCGGGTATTGCTTTAATGAAGGAAAATGCTTGGCTAGCTTTTATGGAAATTAATAAGAGAGAATATTTTACATGCTGTGTGGTTTTGATCCCATGCATTGTGTTGTGATGCATAATATAAACAGAAATCACCTTCCTGTAAAGCAAGTTATTTGCTTACCTTAACATTCTTTACTGATACACCGATAAGATGATCTCAGCTTACAACTGACTGCAGCGATATCACAGAAATATTGTTAAAAGCTATGTAAAACCAGGAAACAAACATCTATATTTGGTAAAACATACCAGAATTAGTTTATATTCCAATTTATACTGCTCAAAATGCTACAAGGTGGCTTATGACCTTTGAATGGCTTCAATACCTTCATTTCATAAGAATGCTTGTTTTGTAGAATGTGTCCAAAGGAACTTGCCGACAAAGGCTGCAACGAGGAAGGATGTTGAAATAGAGGTTTCAAAGTGGCTGGCTAGGGCGCGGGACCGCGATGGGGGAAGGTAAGCAAGAAACAAGGTGTCAGAGACCTTACCTGAAGAAAATGAATGAAGTGACTAGACATGTTTTTAATTTAAAAATGCAAATTTATAGAGGATATTTGTTTGTTTGTGTGTAAGATGAAATTTTGTATCATCAAGAGAGCTTTAAAAACAGTATTCTCATGAGTGGCTAAGCGCTCGTGAGAACACTGTTTTTTAAAGTTCCTTCAATGATATAAAATTACATCTTACACAACAAACAATAAAGTGTCTTTTTATTTTATGCTAATGAAATTTCCTCAATATTAACGTTAATATTAAATCTGTTTTCACCACTGTCAACATCAATTTTAGTTGAATTTAAGTCCAATTTCTCATAAATACAGGAAGTCTTGGGCTGAAAAATAAGTTTGACAATCAACGTTGAATAGCCATGATACTATTTATTGAATTCAAAAAATTTGAATGATGATAAAATCTTTAAAAAGTAAGTCTCGTCATAGAAAAGTTTGAAATTTTAATCATTTCACTGTGAAATTATCAAAAATATTTTCACGGATACATCAGTAATACACTCAAAAGCATAAAATAAATGACTTTTATTTTAAATTTCAAACCTTTTACTTCATCTGCATATAAGTTATTCCACTGATTGAAGTCAATATGTATCAAAGGTATTTTTAAAATGTGAATAAGGGTCAGAACTACAGTAAGCGGCTCATTTGTTTATCTTGTTATACTTTTTGATGCTAATTTTAATGTTTGAGGTCATCAGCATAGCATGTCTTTCTTGTAAATGCAAAATTCTTGTCTAGTCAAATTTTGCCTTCTAGTCAGTATATTCTGCTGCTATGTTACGTTTGTTGTTGACATTATATGCTGTTTTTCTGTTGTCTATATGTTGTTTTTGTTTTTTTTAATTAAAACATTGTTACTGCCAGGGGGAGGAAGGTAGTCTAGTACTGGTGTAACTCTCCAGAAACGATGGTTAGGAAACTACCCGCCTATATGACGTAAAAGGCGTAAAATGAAACAAACAAACAAAAAACATTGTTACTATTTAAATCAAGACATTAAATGCTTGGGAATGTTTTTGATACTGATCAATACAATTATAACATCTTGTCAAAACTTGACACATGTATTGATATGGTATTAACCTTTAAAATAAAGTTGAAATACTTTACAATGATGATTCTTGTAATCTTTATTGTTGTTATTGTTGAAACTTTGAAAATATCGGAGAAATTACTGAAACCAACTATTTTTACTGACAATTTTTTTAATGAATTTCTTCACAACAAATTTGATCTTTGAGTAATATCACATTTTAATTATTATTGATTTTTACAAACTTGTACAAACTATTTTTTACTTTTCATCAGCTGCATATTTTGTTACATGTCTATAAACAGTATTTCAATGTGCCAAGATTTTTGTATTATATTTTGTTACTTTTCATTAGCTGCATATTTTGTTTACATGTCTATTAACAGAATTACAACCGTGCCAACCTTTTGTGTATCATATTTGTTACTTTAGCTGCATATTTTGTAACACGTCTATATAAACAGTATTACAACCGTGCCAACCTTTTTTATATTACTTTTTGTTACTTTTCATTAGCTGCATATTTTGTGTTGACAATTACAAGAGTGCCAACCTTTTGTGTATTATATTTGTTACTTTTCATTAGCTGCATATTTTGTCCACACGTCTATAAACAGTATTACAACCGTGCCAAGGTTTTGTTAATTATATTAATTTTTTTTCATCAGCTGCATAATATTTTGTTTACACATCTATGAACAGTATTACAACTGTGCCAAGGTTTTGTTTTATTATATTTGTTACTTTTCACGAGCTGCATAACATTTTTTTCTTCAGCACTATCATACCACAGTGTAATATATAGAGGATATTCAAGTTTTTTCTATAAATACATGATTTATTTTCATCGAGTGGTATGAAAATAAATATTTCATGAGTGGCGGTAGCCACGAGTGAAATATGGTAATTTTCATGCCACAAGATGAAAATAAATGATAAATCATGTATTTATAGAAAAAACTTGAATATTCTGTTTATTATGTACATTTTTCTCTTTTTTGCGATAAAAATTTGAAAAACTTTCCCTTAAATTTTTTGTGTACTGGTAGAATTTAAAAAAGAAAGTAGTCCGGCAAGACACCAGTGAAAATACGGAAAATATGTTTCACTGCAATGAAAAAATGAATCTTTACAATGAAAATATATAAAATGAAAATACGCATTTTATTTCATCAATATTTCTCAATATTTCATTTATAAGTATATAATAAATGGTTGTAATGAACAACTTTTTATATTAATTGATGTAGATCTATATCATTTGAAAATGAAAGTAACATAAGTTTCATTTTTCCTTGTAGTGATCTGTAAGGTATCTAATGTTATAAAACTGCATTTTTAATTATTTTGTTCGTACATTATAAACAGTTTTCCATTACATGTTGCTTATTTTATAGTGTACCAAAGTAATATTTACTACATAGGACTTTTTGAAATAATTAATATTTCTGTATTTTTGAATTAAAAACTATGTAGTCAAAATTGAAATTCTGTGGATTTACAAATATGTACAGTTTACTCGGATTTTTTATATTGTACACTTTTCTAAGTTTATTTACATAAGTAAAGGTTTCTTTTGTTGACATCAGGTGTCCACAGAATGTATTGAGGAATCTGTATATATATAATATATGATGATATACACTTACCATAAGTGAGATTACTAAATAAAGTTACATTGTTAAAAGCATATACATTGTGTATTGTTTTCTTGCATGGTCATATAGGCTTTTGGTGCCATAATCTGTCTGTTCCAGGAAACAGAATGAGTTTAAAACATCAACTTGAGTATTTTAATGCAAGAACAAGAATCATGCTCTGTAGCAAGCGGTTTGCTATCTTAACGTCCAGCACTTATAATTGAAGTAATTGAAAATAGATCTACCCCGGAATTCAAAATCTACCCATAATGGAAGTATCTGGGCTGCCCATTTGAAACCCATATTTAGTACAAGGGCTGCCCATATGGGGCCCATGTGGGGCCATATTGTGTACATTGGGCTGCCCAGATGGGGCCCATGTGAAATCCCATATGCAGTATAAGGGCTGCCCAGATGGGACCCATTTGGAACCCGGTTGCACTTCCTATATGGGGCCCATATGGGCAGCCCAAATGGGACCCATATAGGTGCCCATATGGGCCCCACATGGGTCCCATATAGAATGCTATCTGGGTAGTAGTATTGCCTTGTAGGCAGGTTGTGACGTGTTTTACATGTCAAAATGTTGGGGCCGTTCACGGCCGATGTTTGGAATGCGTTGCAAGTTGTCAGTTACTTGTGAGGAGGGTTCTCTCAGTACTGGTATTGTCCAGGACAAGAGAGCGTGAAACTGATCGCCATAGTTTTATTTTTGGGAGGGTAAATGGCGTGATTATATTTCTAGTTTAGGGAGGGGGTAGGATATAATGAATGGTAATTTCAAATTGCACAAAATTTTAATGTTGGGGTGTCACTCACTCTTTTTAAATAAAGTGGGGGGGAGTGTAGTGTTTACTAATTATCCGGATAATTACGGTACGGGATGGATGGTCTTTTTCCCGGGGTTCGAAGTGCACTCTGGGTAGTTGGTTTATGGTAATGGCGTCGGTTACTTCGCGGGGTTTTTAGCAGGATTTAGTATTGCCATTCGTAGCGTTATACGCTGTGTAATTGTTGAATTGTAAAGCCTAAACACGCGCACACTTTACTTGTTTACCTAACTCGCTTCGAAATTTTCCGAAATTACAAAGTGAAAGTAGGGTAAGTGTTTACTATTTTACTGATAAATTAGGCCGATATGATTAAACATACGTAATAGCATGTTTATACAAGAACCATTGTTTCACTCCTAATTGATTTCTTGACGATACATTTGACTATTTTCTGAATTTCGAGTCAATAACTCAAATTATTTCGTCCCCTGGTTACTTCGTGCACATTTTGCCTTTTTGGTAAATTGTTGGAAGTTGATATTTTTTTCTGAAAAAAAAAAAACCCATCTTTGTAACAAATTAAAAAGCCGTGTTGCAAGGGGTTATTGGACAATTGCCAAATTTTATTAATTTTAAACACTATCAAGTCCAAGGTATATAATCATACATGTACATGTAGCCCTCCATGTTTAATATTATCTTGTTTCTTAATTTTGTTTACAATAATTTACTTATTTTTATTTGCATAGTTCATAGTTACAAATCAAAAAGTTAAAATACAACCCCCT